TAAAGTTTAGTTTCAACGAGAGAGAGAGAGAGAGGTGTCAGATGTGTGGTGCGACCCAACCACTCATTGGTCTGATGGGGACATTATTCTGGTCCTGATTAGGGAAGTAATTGCCGACAATAGTGTTGTACGTGAACTGAGCCTCGTTATAGCCGGTGCTGTCAATGCATTCTGCGTTGCCATCGTATGGCTTACTGTCATTGACTTGAGGGTAGAAGTGATCGGAATAGTGTTCGTATTGTTCCAAACGCTTCTTCTTCTGGTAGTATTCGTATACATTACAACCAATCAGTGCTATTACCATAAGACCCGCCACTATTGGTAACACAATAAACAGGACTGGATATAGCCATCCATTCCAACCTAATATGCATACAGACAGAGGTTAGTAATAGTAAGACAAGTAAGACAGGACATATTGTATAAACCGGAGTCAGAGTTGTCTCCGGAGTAATGAGTGGTGGAGCCAAATCTGGTCCCGAGACCATATGCCATGAAAGCAAATGATAACTTCAGTTTAAATTCGAGATATCAATCCTCGAAACTATTATCCAGATACTATTGCTCGAAAGCTGCAAAACATGAATCCATTCCCATTAGTAATCACTTAATAGATGTTTTTGCAGTGCTTTGAACGACAAACAAATACATTAATCGATAAATTGATGTTTTTTCCAAATATTATAACAAACCGTTTCATTGGAAACACAAACACTACTTTAATAACAATTTACTCATATATTTGTTTCCAAGATGATATTAAAATATCCACAAACGCTATAGTATACCAGTACTAAACAACATTGTGTAATAAATTGTTATTATTATTGCAGCAATTCCAAAATCAATAAAATTAATGAGAAAACATTTTACTCATTATTCAAATGTTTTTTAAATTGCAAACATTTGTTAATTTGTCATTAATTTGATAATAATGTTGAGTAATTAAAGTTACAAGATATATAGATTACCATAAGACCCGCCACTATTGGTAACACAATAAACAGGACTGGATATAGCCATCCATTCCAACCTAATATGCATACAGACAGAGGTTAGTAATAGTAAGACAAGTAAGACAGGACATATTGTATGAACCGGAGGCAGAGTTGTCTCCGGAGTAATGGGTGGTGGAGCCAAATCTGGTCCCGAGACCATATGCCATGAAAGCAAATGATAACTTCAGTTTAAATTCGAGATATCAATCAAATCTATTGCTTGAAAGCTGCAACACATGAATCCATTCCCATTAGTAATCACTTAATAGATGTTTTTGCAGTGCTTTGAACGACAAACAAATACATTAATCGATAAATTGATGTTTTTTCCAAATATTGTAACAAACCGTTTCATTGGAAACACAAACACTACTTTAATAACAATTTACTCATATATTTGTTTCCAAGATGATATTAAAATATCCACAAACACTAAGTATACCAGTACTAAACAACATTGTGTAATAAATTGTTATTATTATTGCAGCAATTTCAAAATCAATAAAATTAATGAGAAAACATTTTACTCATTATTCAAATGTTTTTTAAATTGCAAACATTTGTTAATTTGTCATTAATTTGATAATAATGTTGAGTAATTAAAGTTACAAGATATATAGAATCTCTTTATTAGATAAAATTGTGTAAAATATCTGAAAATTAATTTATTATATGCCGAATACTGCATTACTTACAGTGTCTGTAAATACTAAACAAAAAACTGGAAAAAAATTTAATTTACTGTATAAGTTATACGATAATTTGCATTTAATAGATGTTGATTTTTAAAATTTAATAAATTTAAATGTACATGCAATATATAGTATAATGCAAAACAGTTAATTGGAAAATACTTTATAATCAAAAACATAGTTTTATGAGAAACAAAAAGTTGAGTCCAAGACTTAGACCGGGAGTCCGGCCTTTTCTCTGCACACTCTCATCAGTGCTCTTAACATGAATTGTCTTCGAGACAGTTCTCTCACGTGCTATAAATAAAACAAACAAAACAAATGAGTAAATGATTGTAATATCACTAAAATTGGTGAATATATGCCAACCTTTAGGAAGAGTTCTAAATCTATAACTCCTTTACGTAAGGCTTCGCTCAAGTAATAGATCGCATCGACGATCGCATTCTCCTCAGCGAATGAGTTCAACAGTTGCTTATAGAGGGGTTGTGTCGGTCCAAACACCTCATCGATGTCTACACTCTTCTCTTTGTCATCACATTTGCTGATCACTTCAGACAACTGAGCGTTTTTTGTATTCAATTCTTGTTTCGAGTCATTTATTTCAATCATCTCGTCCTCCATTCGTCTCATAATATCCTCTAATTTTTGTTTCCCTTTATTTAGATCTTCGCCTGAAATCAAAGCCAAACATTATTTCCATAAAAATCCACACAATTATTAAATTAAAGTATAACTCGTTTTCTTTAAGACATCCATTTCCGCCTGAAATTGAGACACTTTTTCTTTGACCCTTAGTTTCACTTTGTCTTCGATGGCACTGATAAGTGAAGCCCTAATATGCTCTTCAGTGATGGTTCCCGTTCCCGGACTTAACTGCGATGTAGTTG